TTATAGACTGCAGTGGCATTTGTAGCCTGATGTGTTCAAGTATTGAGAAAATCGGCATTTTAACAAACAACCCTCATCCTAATTTGTGAAGTTGCAGCCTTTTGTATTCTCAGCTAAAAGCTACATACACTGTACTAAGTTCAGAATAAACCCACCTCTCTGCTCTTGCTCATTCCACTCCTCTGACAATAACAGGAAACAAACTGGCACCAATAGTTGCAGTCAGGAGCACATGGGGTCTCAAGCTGACACTGATTTTCATGTGACCAAAATAGCAGAAGTCCTGTCTGTACTTGTGCTGACAGGCGGTAACGAGCCAAAAATCCAAGCCCGCTGATGGTGCAAACTGCAAAGTGTGATCCTGAAAGCGGTGCCATGATGCCGCGTGCCAGTCCGTAGACAGCGGCGTGTTTGTGCATGTGGCAGCACTTTCAGACTGAGAGAGACAGGAGCTTGGGGCTCAGCGTGGTACCTTTCTCTCAGCAGTCTTTGCCAGTGAAGAAGTAGCGTAGTCACTTGCAGGCTGGTATCCTTGCTTACTAAACAGGAGCGCAATTGGTATGTGTTTCAGGCTGAAGAATAGAGCTTACTTGCACTGTCCGGTACACAGGATGCATCCTTTGTCTCTGTTCCTTCCCTGTTACACTTCCTGTGGCTCCCTGATCTGTTATCGATCGGTCAGGTCTGCCTGGTTCCGACGCAGCACCTGAAGTCCAAGGCTGGCATGTGCGTTCTGCCTGAGTTTGTTTGATTCCCTATCTCTTAATTACTGTGACCGTGTAGGTGTGGACCTGGCCGGGTTTGATTGAGGGTCGTTGCTGTGGTTAAACAGCAGTCAGTGTATTGGCTGTCACATGATTCAGCCTCCGCGATGCAGTGCTTGGGGAAAAGCCGGCCGTATAAAAAAAGACAGGAGAGACACATGATTTACTTTCTCCCTTTTTTCCCCCCATGCATGTATGTCTTTTTCAGGCCCGGCAACATGGACCTCATTTTTCCCATTTGGAGGGGCATGTGTTGCCGGGGCCTGTCTGTCTGCTTAACCCCCCCCCCCCCGGTCCTCCACCTTCCCCCTCCCCACCTCCTCTGCCTCCCCTCGTCGGTGAGGTTGCTGGGCCACACTCAGCTCCAGTGCTGTAGGGTAATCTTTCACACCAGGCAGAGGGAACCAGTGGAGGGTGGAAATGAGGTTTTCAGACCCGCTCCCTCCCTTATCCCCCTCAGCCTTGCTTTTGCCCCCTTTAGGTTACACCCTAACGTGTTTTTAGCGTTCTCTTTCACCCCTCCCCCCATTCTATTTTCATCTTGTTTCTTCAACTTAGTTTAACCCAAAAGATTAATACCTTAGACAACTTCTCTCTGACATTAGCTGGGGAAATTACACACAAATACACAACACCTTTTAATCTCTAATGTCATTTGTTTATTACATTTTTCCCCCCAATTTGGTGACCAATGCTTGCCCTCTAGGGGTTGAGATGGATTACTGCAGTGCTGTAGGTGCTTAGCCCAAGTACGGGGGTGAAGCCAAGGCATGGGGAGGCTCAGAGCGCTGTCTTTCCCTATTCCTCACCACACCTCATATAGTCGCATGCACATTGTAATAGTTCACATGCTGCATTGCTTCCCAAAGTGATAATGAAAGCTATTCTGAAGAAGTTTCCACTTGACTGTTCCTCTTGAATGCCCTAGACAAAGTAGCTTGAATTTAGTATATCTCCTGCGTTTGTTGTTTTCTTAAAACACTTTAATTTGCATGCTATTTTTGTTTTGTTGTTTCTGACGGCACCCTGAAGTGCAGCATGTTGTATTATATGTATCAGCGGAGGTCTTGTTTAGCAGATAATATTGGCATTCCGCTGTTTAATCTTTATATTTTGGTGCATGGCCCCAGGTTTGATAGGGTGGAGCTACCCCATGACATGACACACTGACTCCTCTATCTGTTTTTCTTTTTTCTTTTTTTTCACATTGCATGGATGAGACGTGATGCGAGTAAAGCATACTTGCCCCTTCTCCTTAATCTCCCCCTGTCCCTTGTCTTCCGCGCATCTCTCTCTATCCATTTATTTCCTTCACCACTGCCTCCCTTTCTCCGTCCATCTTTCTCCAGCTGCCTCCCTTCCACCTCCCTCCATCTCCTGCGCCTCTGAGAGCCGGCCGTGGCTGGCAGAGACAAAGTACTGACACTCGGCTCAAGAATGACCGCCCCTGTCCTGCAGCCCCACAGCCGGGCGGCTGGGGATCCATCACGGTAGCCGTGCCCCGCCCCTACCCCACTGCCCCAAGGAGAGCGGCAGTCCAACATCGAGGCCGAGGCTGGAGGGGAGCCGAGAGGAGAGCGACAGCTGCCGGCGATCCCGCGAACACGGACCACAAACCCGCCGACCTGTGGGGAAGAACGGTTGGGCTGCAGTGGGAGAAAAAGACAAGGGGGGAGGGAGCGAAGGAGACTGAGCGCGCCATCCGCCTGCTTGTCTGCAGGACGGAAGGGGGGGCATTAATCATTATTGGCGCACACCTCCGTCCCTGACGCACCCTGACGGCCCTTCCACCCCTGACATAAATCATAATTCCCCCACAATAGATCCCCTCTCCGCCATGCCTCGGAAAAGTGTGCTACTGTTATCGATTTTCCCTTTTTCTCCCGCTGCCTCCCCCGTCACCCAGCTGCCCCCCACCCCCACAACCTCTGCCAAATCATTATGAAACATAACTGATATGAAATTTATAGAATACTAAATAAACTTTACGAGGGCATGGCACTGATTTTTTTTCTCTGCTCCTGTCTTGATGCATGAGGAGCAAGGGGCAAAAAAATGAGAACTAATGATATAAAAATTACAAAGCGTGCTCAGTGCCATTATACTTCTATTGATTTGTTTTTGAACCGCACCTAGGCATATAAGAGTCGCTGGAGGAGATTATAAATGGCCCAGAAGAGGAGAGAATGGGCGAAAGGAGAGCAAAAGACGTGAGCAATTAGCCTGTATGTCATCCACGGCTATTTGCCTGGTCTCCACCAACCCCCAACCCACTGGCCTTGCTGCTGGCACGTGTATTATATGACCCTCGCTCACGACAACTATGGTGTGGATGGGCTGTATTGACCTTTGAACTCAGACCCCTGGTTGACCCCCCCCCCCCAGTAAAGGATTTAGCTGGAAGGTTGTCGCTTGTCACTGTGATTTCTCCTCACTCTTGTTTTTGCCATCGATGAATCCATAAAAGACCCAGACAAAGAGGACTGCTTTAAAACAGTTATGTGAAGGTACCCATTTCTATGGCCTTATGCCCACTTTAGCTGAATCTGTATTAATTATGCCTAATTTGGAACCTGTTTGGGCTTTTTGCCGTTCAATGGAGGAGTATATAACCTCTTTGCATGAATTTTATGTAAGTGTGTATTGTAATAGCCAGAGCGTCTAGTGTTTAACTGTACATCAAAACATGGTAGAGTCTTCTCCTGCTTCAGGAAATCCATATTATTCACTGCATTGAGGATTAACACTGGAAGTTCAAACATACACACCAGGCAGTTACCATGGAAATCATGCACCTGAGTGTTCACCTGGGGGGTGTAGGATGTTTTTTTTTTAAGCTAAGGTTGAATGAGGATGTTTTTGGGAATAGATCCATGTGTGTTTTTGTGTTTGCTTGCATTTGTTGGCGTTTCCTCCGCCTCTCCTGCCGTCTCGGCACTGGTTCGCACTGTGTGGATAACTTGGGCACTTGACACGTGGCTGGGGCGGGCGTCTGTGGCCCGGCCAGGATTAGAGCCTGGCGGAGGGATATTAACATAAAGCGGAAGGGACAAGGGCGCTCCCGTCCAATTACTCTGCACCCTGTCACCGCCGTCCGGGCGCAAACAACAGAGGAGGAAAGGATTAATTGCCTTGGACTCTGCCCCCACTGCCGGCCCAATTATGGAAACATATTGGCTCCCAGCGCTGCTGCATCCACTGCTGTGCTGGGATATTGTGTGAAATTTCTAACCGGTTTCAGAGGTCAGGACGGGGAAGGCTGGAACAGGAGCCACTGTGACACCAAGGGGTGGGGGTGTAGGGGCGACAGTGTGGGGGTGGAGGCGGTAGAGGCAAAGCCACTTTAGTTTTCTGCTGGATGTGTAAACCCTCTTTTTGCTGCACTAACAAAGGAGAAAAAAGAAATGGCTGTGTTTCCATTGTATGTTTTTATAGCGAAAAGGGAATGATTATACAGGATAGTGTTCTTCTAACTCCGTTAAAGTACCCATCACTTTCAGCTGAAATGGATTTTTTTTCATAAGGAATGCTGTCGTGCAACTTGTAGATTAGGGGCTGACTCTCTCTTCCAAGACATTGGTTTGTACTGCTCTGCATAGACACCATAACCTTAAGACATGTCCAGTTTCAGCAGACATCCCATGCGTGGTTCTCCATTCTTACTTTTTGGTTTTTGCGTTGCTTAACTTTGTATTTTGTTTCTTAGATGGCCCCTTTGTCCAAATATTCAATTCCTACCATTTTATAGCCGGATATTTTGCTGGAACAATTAAGCACTTTGCTCAAGGGAACTATTACAGAGAGCCTCTTGGGATTTGATCCAGCAAACGTCTTGTTACGAGGCATGGTCCTTGCACAACCTGGTGCTTACACTGCACCATGTGATCATAGCCTTTCAAATAATAAAAGATAAAATATTCCTCTACCTGTAGCTGTAATTGATGGCTTCTGCGCGGCTTATATTTCCACTGTTGTCAAATTGACAGTAGAGCGCAAGCAGAGCAGCCACAAAGGAAATCTGTAATTATCAAACGTAACTCCCGAAGTCTTTTCCTCACAGCTTTCTCCGGATCGTCATTTAACATTTTCCTTGTCCTCTGAAACACAGCCTTGTGTAGGTTTCAGTCTGTAAATATTTCCATATGGAAACACAGCCATATATAAAGCGATAGCAAACCTTTTGTCACCTCAAGTCTTAGAGTGGCTCAGTTGCTCATTTGCACTTCTTTTCTGCAGTGGCTTCACATCACCTGCCATACAAGCTAGTAAATACTGTCCCGAGCACGAACATTGGACAACATCAGCCGGCTAATGAAGGTGATGGAAAACTTATAGTATGATTCTTTATATCCTCCTAAGACCCAAGGAAAAAAGTGTCCTTCAATTTTAGGTTATTTGTCTTTGGAGGAAATAAGACATCTTACAATTTAGATTTTTTCAAATTTATTTTTATTTTTAATTTCACAGCATGTCCTCTTTAGTTCACAACAGGAATAAATATGTTTCCTAACATCAGTGCAAAGATAGATGCAAAAATAAAATGTCCACTACACTGGACATAAATGAACGGGTGGGGGCTCAGGAGGATATAACTCAAGACTTCAGCAGAATCGTAGATTGATATGGTCCAAACAAGTATGACCTCGGCTCTGTTTCAACTCAGTTTGCCACCTGTGTCATAATACAAGCAGCTTCAGATCACTTGTACCTTAAACTTGCACGATTGAGGGAGAGGTTGAGTAATGAAAATGAGAAAATAGTTAATCCCCCACCTTATAGAACTCTCTGGCGTTGTCTGGCCGACGTCTTGGCCCATTGGTACTGTATTCTCATTTTATAGTCCCATTGATTGGGCCCAGTGGGTAATGTTGGCATCTCTTTACTATACATACAATGTACTACAATTACATCTCTGCACAAAGCAATTATAAATACAGTAGGATTAGACCAGAGGAATGTATTATATAGGAGCTGCGGCACTGAAGCACAGACCGCAGGAGCTGTGTTAGTAAAGCACCTTTTCCTCTGCCCCGGCCACAATGCATTTCTCTTTCTCTGTTGCTGTCGGCGAGGTCCTCTCTCTTTAATTGAGTTTCAGATGCTCTGCTCAGTCTTTTATGGCACTTGGCCTCTCGATTCGACTCTGGATCATCTCTGTTCTAATGGGCCTGAAATAAGGAATTACACAGAGGATCCTTCGGAAGCATGGCGTTCTCAGTCGAATCACTTCCTCGCTGGCTCTGTGTTCCAAAAGAATATTTTAATTGCCAGCCAGGACCCAAGGAAGACTCCAGATGAACATCATAACTCAAGACGAGTCGGTGGTCATACGAAGTATTTTAATGCACACTAAGTCAAAATATTAGCAAGATAAATCTGTACAGGAAGCCATTACAAGCATGATCAATCCCCGAAATGAGCTTTCTCACCTTGAAGGACTTTTGCTACTTGGCCCCCCAATAGTAATTCAGTGTTGTACTTACAAACATGATGACTCCGGTGTTGTATTGAGATGAGGCTGCGAATGTCCATGCAGGTGGTCTACATGCACAATGGAAATCGAGTGTGAAACCTTGGTCTAAGCACTGCTTGATTTATGTATCAGATAAGAAGCTGTTTGAGTTTTTGGAAATGAACTAATTACTCCACAGTGTGGTTCTCCGGCAAATTGAAACATGGCAAGTAGTACAGCGTGTGGGCACTTTGATTGTAGTTCAGTCATTATATGTCCACAATACTACTGATATCGACCATTTATGTCCTTTGTGGTATATGCGTTCTAGGCAAAAAAAAACCATCATAAACTCAGCTTTTAGCCAGTGAAAGCCAACTGGTATTTTCTAATCAATTTAAGAAATGTGCTTTTCTGGGCTGGAGTTACTGATGTCCATGCACACAGAGAAGGCACACATAGCACATTGCATCCGGCAGGCTGACAAATGCAAACTTCATGAATTTTGAATTAAATTGCCACTTGATGAATCTCGAATGTGCTCCTCTGTTGCAGAGCAAGGGAAATTCAATAAAACTCCTCCACCATACAAATAAAGCCATACATTCCCCTGGACCTGGGAGTGAAACCAATGTGAGGAAAAATGACTGCAGCACCAGGATACGGCACAAAGGAAGCGAAAGAGGCTGAAGGAGGAGAGCGGGCGAGGGAGAGGAAACTGAAAACCAGGCCTGTGTGTCTCTTATAAAACGGAAGGGAACATATTGCTCCAATGCTTTGCCCATGTCTGCTTTGCAGTTGGAGCTCATCAGCCAGACAGGACAGACCTCAAGTAAATCAGTGCCTGGGTTCTAGGCCCGATTTCCCCTGGGGTCTCCAGCTTAGGCCCACTCAGATCAACCCCCTCGCCCCGCTTTCAGATGGGAAATCCAAGGAACTCGCCGAATGTCCTGAGCGGCAATTGTGTTGGAGGGAATTAGGTGAGCGTATATTTCCTCGTGCGTGCGTACAGGAAAACCTTTAGCACTAGAATGAAGATTTCAGATCACCACTGGCAGTGTTTTTCAGTATTTATATTTTAAGAAGAAAATACTCGTTAAACTAATACTGACCCAAAAATGGATATATGTAGGGAAATGCGGTTTTACTGCTCACTCATACATTTTATTGGGTTATTTTGCCGCTGTCTACCCATACTCGAAATGCAATAGAATTTGGACAGGACAGCGGTTATGCAGAGAACCTTCACACAGTAAGGTGACTAAGCACACTTCTCAGCCCCCCCAACCCCCTACCATGCATACTCTAATGTGAATAATGTTTCTTTGTAGTAATAAATGGAGTGCCATTTCCCACAATGGCAAAGTCAGGCCGGTATTGATTAACTCTCATCATCGACTCACTCTTGCTCTCGTGATTTATGATTGTCTGTTATTTTTACATTAGCTGTCAAATTCATCTTGTCTTGTGAGGCAAGGGTCGACCGATGCCAACAGTAAACATTTTTAACTGCTCTACAGCACAATGCTGACTGGCCAAACAACTAGGCTGTCCAGCTACATTAGAACAGGACCCCACAAAGAGCCTGTGAGATGCCCACCATTGTGGATGATGGTATGTGCTTCCTCTTCCTGGTAAGTAACAGAATTTCCAATCGAGATCTGGGGCAATAGTGCTAGGAGTGTTACTGCAAGGGTTATGGACCTGGGTGACACAGCATATACAGTGTGTTCTGCATTGTACCCTAGCCAGCTACAGTATGAGTGTAAACCTTCCAGGCTCAGAGCTCTTCATTTTGAACTTTTGTGATCATATCCTGTGTATCTAAGGAGATGCTCTTTCATCATTTAAATTAATGGTTATAGAATTTAAAATTCATTTGGCTGGCTTTTTGTGCCTCCTGAACTGGTAATTTTGCTTCCCATAGCAGAATCTTATTTCAGTGGATGTAAACATACATAGGGCCATCCAAAGTGTTTTCTTCTCATTTCATAAGATACCTTACAGCACAATCTTCCTTTTTTTTCCTGAACGCCGCATTACACAAGGGCTAGAAGAAGCTAAGGCTGAGGATACTGTAAAAACAAGTGGGTCCCAGCTTGTTGTACTCAGACAAAAAAAATCAATTAAATATACTGAATGTTTCAAATGCAGTTGTTTACAGTTGTTTACATGTAATGTAATTTTGTTCATGCACGACTGATACACTGCCATGGTTAATTTGGGTCTGTGATGCGTGATTTTTCCAAAAGGTCTATGCAAATGTTCTTAGAGCTCTACCACAAGCAGACATCTTTAATGGCAACACATTTACAGCCCTAAGATAAGAATACAGCTCTCAATTTCAGCACATCAATTTCTCTCTATTAAGCAGTAAGATGGGAAAATCTGATTCCCTGGCAATTTTGGCAGATTTTGCACATTAATATAATTTAAATAATTTCCTTCCCTACAGTAGCATGGAACTGAGAGAGTATAAAAAGAAAACGAGTGAGTAGAAAAGGAAAACGCATTTTTTTTAAATGACAGACAGAAAGACACTTACAGGGCAGGTATCTATGCCTGTCTATCTGTTTATGAATCAGGATTTCACAATAAAATTGGACGCCGTTGCTAGTCTGCGATCAGCTATCATTTTAAACACAGTGTCCAGTGCTGTCAATTTGGAAGGCTGCTATTTCCCCCCCCAGACCAGATCCAGGAGATGTCAAGGTACATGGCAGTAAGTGACGCTAACCTCTTTTCTTCTGGGCTCTTTGCCCGGGGAGCTTGAAGAGATAATAACAGGCGTGAGCGAGAGCTGTCCTAGGGAAGAGGGGCCTTTTAATGGTAGCTGGTGCTACTGGTGGTGGTGGGGGTGTCCTGTAGAACCCTTGCTCCAGTTTCATTGAGATTCCGTTAGGGCAGCGGAAGTTGGCAAGATCTTGCCCCCTCCCCCACTGGTTTGGCTGACACTTGTGCAGGATTGTGATTTTTTATTTTTTTTTTCTTTTCTGACATTTTGCTCAGATGTGCGAGCCAGATAGTGTCGGAATCTTTCTCAGGACTTGAAGGGTATTGACGACTTCCGATTTGAGCCGGTCCCCTTCTAATCATCAAACGTGGTGGTGAAATGGCCCCACTGTCCTGAAAATGTCCCGGCTGGTCATTCTGTGACTGCAGTTGTTTACTTTCCCCATCTAGCCAATGTGGAAGCTGCAGCAATGGTTGCCATAAAGTTTTTTTTTCTTTCTTAATCTCGATAAACGGGCTGTGGGTGGTGTTCTCCAGAACATCCTCCAGGTGAGGGCAGTGTGGCAGTCGAGACGCTGAAAAATGAGGTCCCATCTTTGTAATTCAGTCGTGAGCTGATAGCATCACGCTGCAGCGAACTATCAGGCAGGTATTACCGCCCGCAGACTGTAATCGTTAATGAAGCCAGTATTGAGTTTATAAGGCGCTAAATGATGCAGCCCACTCGAGATAAACACATCCTAAATAAACGATTTGAGTGGTAATTGCACTCTGCCAGGCTCTGTTAATAGAGTCAACTCCTCTGATGAAAGGGTTAACTTCTTTCCGAAGGATCCTCTCACTGGCTCATTGCACTCTCATTTCTACTGAGATCTCGGCATTCCCTTGGTTATCTGTGCACTTAAAAAGAAAACCTAATTAGACAAAAAAAGGCTTCTTTTTTCCTAATTAGGTCCTTAACATAATTAGCAGGTAATGTTAATAACCCTCTTTTAAAATCTATTAAAAAGCTGTTTGGAAGTAAGTGGTTGAGGGAGGATGTCCTGTGGGTGGTAGGGGCCCCTCGGAGGGCCGGAGTATCAGAGAGAGGGGCATGCTGGGACGGTGGCTCATCAGGACTGGAGTGCCTCTGCATTACCACCCTTTCCCCACAGGAGAGCCTGATGACATGCACCACGTATTAATATGACTGCTGTCCACAGCAGCTGCATCTTTCTCTATGTCTGGTTGTTAAAAACCCATCTCTTTTCGGTGCCCGTGGCCCATGTGCCTTCAGAGACGCGGACTGGAAAACTATGGGTGTTTTGGGAGGGCTGTGCAGGCGGCGGGGTGGGGTGGGGGCATAGCCACCATTTGGGTCCAGCAGTGTTTGCTGTCAGTGTTGTTTGCGTTGGGGTGGGGCTAAAATCCACCAGGGGGCATTGTGCGTTCAGTAATGTTCTCAGAAAATTACCATAGAGGGTTCTGGGACTAGCATTATTAACACAGTTTGAGTGATATATTCATACCAGTTCGGAGGTGCTCCGGGTTCTGGTGCACAGTCTGTGAGCTTTGCTGAGGAGGATGAGGGTGAGGAAGAAACCGCCGCCGACCAGAAGAGCCCAATACTCGTCTTTAATTAAGTATCTGAAACATCAATTTAAATGTAAATATCTGTGGTGCCTCTCCACTCATGCGTGAACTGGAGGGCTACCCCGCTGCATCTCTCTTCTCCAAGTCCCTGCTCACTTACGCTGACATCTGCTCACAACTGCTGGGCCCCAGGCTGTCCCATCTCAGACACACAGCCATGCGCGCGCGCATGCACACACACACACACACACACACACACACCATCATACACAACGCACTGTCTACATTACCTTTTGTTGTTCCCCTCCTGACGGCCTGAAATCAGTTATTGTGCAGTTCTTATTCAGCAATATTTTGTGTTTGTGAATTCTAGACGCAGACGTTTCCTGTGCAGCAAAAATAAGGGTTACAGTGTTCTCAGAACTGCATATGTGTGTACAACTGTTTATTTTCTTTTTTGGTTATATGTATGGATCTATTTATTTATGCATCTTGTTTATGTGTATCAAGGTACAAGCCTAAAACTAGCTACAGTCAAACCTCATCGCCGTTTATTTCTGGTTTTTAACCCGCCAGATCAATTGGTTCATATTTGCTGCATGGTGTCTGTGCAGTGTATGCGTGTCTGTGCAGTGTATGCGTGTCTGTGCAGTGTATGCGTGTCTGTGCAGTGTATGCGTGTCTGTGTAACGTTTAACCACAGAGCCTCTTTTCTGCTTGAGCCCACAATGCTTTATGATTAGGATGTGACCACCGTGGACTCATCACTCAGCTCACGGGGCTTTTGCTCACTGGGGACTGTGATTCCTACTCACTACATCCTCGCTGTCTCCTCAGCTCAGACGGCCGCCGCTTTCGCTTGGCAAACACAGCGACACGCCGGCTGAATTTCCGCGCCCGCTTTGTGAATTACAGACTCGAGCGCTGGCGCAGAGTAACCCGCTCTGTCCACTAAACGGGTTTGTTTGGCAGGCTCTCCACGGCTCGCACTATCCTGCGTGCCAGACCTCCTTACCTCCATCGCCGTGACGTCTTGGCTCGGGCCGGCGTGAGGCCGTGAGGCGGAACGGCGCGGGTAGCCTTGGCGGCAGTCCCCTGCCGCGAGTGCCGCTCGGTGCTGTTCCACAAGCTCGAGTGCGAACCCGAGTAAGTGCCCTGCAGTTTTTTTTTTTTTTTTTTTAACACCACCGTCATCCCATGCACTCGTGCCCCACCCCTGAGCTGGTGTGGAGATGTCCACTTGGTTTGCCAGGGCGTGGGGGAGTAAGGCGATCGAGCAGGCCAGGCACGCCTCGCTGGAGCGTGATGGCGGGTCTCCACCTTCCCTGGCTGTTAGGCGATCAGGACACATCTCATAAAGGCACATCAGGAGGCGGGATGATTTAATGGGGGACGATGTGGGGAGCAGATCTCAGTTACAGCCCCCCGAGGAGCCCCAGCCTCTTATCCATATTACCCCACCCTAATGACCGGAGAGTGGCTTGGTAGGTACCACACACTGTTCCGCTATATAGCTCCCTTTACCCACAGTACAGCAAATTAAATGACTAATATTCAGTCATTTGTATGAAAGGGGGTAAAAAAAAAAAAAAGAAAAGAAAACGCTGAGCCTCACAACCTCCTTCTGAGTTCATCATTTTTTCTGCTCTTTTTTTTTTAGATTGGGCTAATCTAGATCATTATATTAAATGGTGACAGTCTTGTAATGCCTTAAGAAAATCTTAGCGAAGCACTTAAAGCTGCGTGGCCCAGTGCAGGGCTGGATTGCTCTGTACTCTCTCACTGCCCTTTTAGCCCAAACCAGAGTAGCTGGAGTGACGTTTGCATTCCGTTTGACTGTATAATACATGCGCAGCCGCTGTTGGGACTCTTCTTTACTTTTGTAATTGATTGCTCTGCAGCCCTTGTGACTGACACACTGTCATGACAAAGCAGACGCAAATGAGGTGACACTGCAGTGTCACCGTTATAGCTGGCCCATCACCTGACAGGCACTAACCCATCCCAACTGCCGGCTTTGGCGGGGGCTCCTACCTGCCAAAAAAAAAAAAAAAAAAAAACAGATTCTCCATAAGATCTGGTATTTCCTCTCACGGCCATCTAATTAAGGATAGGCAAGACCCGCGGAACCATGATCCATGAGTCAATTTGCAGCTCCGTCCTGACGTTGTGATTTGTGAGAAGGCCTGTATTCCAACTCTGAGCGGGGAGAAATTGCTACCCCCCCCCCCATTCCCAGGGGATGTGGTGGGTGTGGGAATGGGGGGGGAGCCGGGATCACCCGTGTGCCAGGCCTGCGCCCGTGCCCA